TTAAACTGTACACATCAATTTATTAATAGGATGTGTAATAATCACGCAAAGTGTGGAGAACTTATCGTAAAGATACATTTGACGAATTCTTTTTAGGACAATTTATTTTCTTTATTTAACATTTTTTACATTTAATTATTCAAAGTATTATCTTAAGTCTGTAATGTAATTGCAATAGGAAAGGACGATTTCGGTTAGTTCTGCCTTGTTGAGAACTTTCCTGAAAATTTTCTTATCGTTGTTGCCATCTGGAAGAATTGCAATAAATTTTAAACATAGTTTAGAAAACACACAATAAGGACATAAATAAATCATTAATTAAACCTAGTGCAATCTCTTTTCTTGCTGATGGTAAACAAAACGGTATGTGTAACGGCCAAAAAATTAGCATAGCTTATATTTCTACCACATTCTTCTAAACACTTTAACACTGTTAGCATTCTCATCACTCGTTTAAACTCAAACTAACAATGTCTCTCTAATAAAACGTTTTTACGACCATGGTTATATATGCCGAAAACTGGCATACTTTATATTTCTACCACATTTTTCTAAACACTTTAACACTGTTAGCCTTCTTATCACTCGTTTAAATTTAAACTATTAATGTCTCTCTAATAAAACTTTTTTACGAGCATGGTTATATATTATTATAGTAAGTACACAGAACGCCACTTTTGTCATGTGTCACCAATGCGCAATATCTAGCTAGGAGTCTTTTCTACTTGATTAGTCCAGTTGTCGTTAGGTCTGAGGTAGGCACGTTTTTGGTCAGCAGATACCCTCATTTTGATGGTTGTATTTGCATCTGATGCGCAATATATTTTTTGCTACTTTGGCTAGCAATATTGTGATGCATCACACGACATCACACTATCACACTCGTATGACGTAATGTCCGCAGTGTCGCATTCGTCTTTCTCCCGAAAATACTCGATGAAAACTCTCCTCACTGACAATTTAACCCATTCCGTTTATTTTTACGTCTTAATACTCAATAATTCGAGCGAAAAAAGTTTGCAAAACGCTTGCAAATATCGAGCAAGAGTCTGCTATTATACTTTTTTATTTACAATTTTGCATGGACAATTATATGATATGACACCTATAGCATTGTGGGTAGGTTCTTAGCCAATTGCAATCGAGATTGCTTAATATGCATAATAATAGTATTTCCCATGACTTCTGACTGGGAAAAGCCAAAGTCATTTCTCACTGGATCACTGGGGAAAGCCAAAACATTTCTGACTAGGAAAAGCTGAAAATATGTCAAAGCGCAGACGTAACAATTGTCAATCGGTTGACGATTTGCGAAAAGATGTCAACGAGGAACTACATCAAGAATATGTGGGGTCGAGGATATTAAGTGATATCCAATCTATTAATTTGAAAGTCTGCAATGATCTAAATGTTGATGTAATTCTGTTTGTTCTTGTTTTGAAATATGGGTTGTCACTTGTGTGCTCTATTGCCAATGTTGCGTCTTCTTTGCTTGTACTCCCCGTGAATGTACGTAAAGAAGTGTTGGCTTTGTATGTCCCAATTTAGAAGAAGAAGATGGAAATGTTCTTTTACAGTCCGCTTCTAAATTAAAAGTTCCTAGTACAACGATAGGAAGTTGCATGTAGTTACACCTCCATGCTCCAAATGTATTAAGTGCAACCATGATCTTGTGAGCTACAATAAGCCAGTAAAAGTTCAGGTACACGATCTGGAACTACCGATGGAGTGAAAGTTTCGCTTAGATGCAATCGCTGTAATTTGCTTTATGGATATTCCAAGTACGGTAATGGGAAAGATGGCTGGATGTTATATCCCGAACAAAGAAAAATGATCGAGGCTACGGATCTCTGTTTTGTTGATTCAACTTTGCTTCAGTGGCAGCTGTCACTCGCGTAAGTTACAATATAATCACTTGATTAATTAATGTTAAAATAGCAAGTAGATTTTACAAATGAAACATGTTTTCTATAGTTGTCATTCGTGGGTATCATTTAACGGTTTTTCTGAAGCGTTTAATGAAGTATACAATGGCAGTAAGAGAACGATATGTTGTAGATCTGTATTACTGTTATCACGTTGTTACAGTTTTGATGGTAAGCATTATTTGCGTTTTATATAAAGATTTTGGAAGAAACAAGTTGCTGCTTCATTTTGGGTCGGCGAGATGGAGAATGAGTTGAGGGAATTGGGACAACTGGACTTTTTTGGTTTGCTTAAAGAAGATGGGGACTCTTCTAGGGTTCTAGAACAAATCGACAAAATTAGGGCGAGAAGTTTGTACGAGCATACATCAGATGATTGTTCTGATACTTGCAAAGAGCGCGGTAAGTTAGATGCAATTGTATTTTAAAGTTAGTTTAAAAGCTATAAATATATTCTATTGGAAAATAGCTGTGATTCTCATCAGGCTAAGATATTTTCGTAATCAAACTTATAGGATGTGGAAGGCTATAGGTTGCCGATGGAATATGGAAATTAATGTTTCCTCATTGCATGATGCGTAGAAAGGTACTTATCTTAGTTTTATATAAAATTACTCCTTTCCTTTTCGTAACTTAATAATATTATATGAAATTGTTTTCAGAATTTTGTAAAGGGTATTCCATTGCTGAACTTTCCCAATGTATGCACTGAGTCGCCTCAGCATGGAAAGGCATTCTGCAAACAGCATGTGCAATATTTGGAAAAAAACTTCCCTAATGTACCCACTAGTGTGCGTGGATTTTTAAGATATTGTGGTGTGAAGCCAAGTAACATAGGTATGTACTCCAAAATTGTCATGACTATAATCATGCTTGAGAATAAAGTCCGATTTTCATGATCAATTCGAGATACATTAACAGAGCTTTTACACTTAATCACAACTGCTCTTGCTTTGGTATATAGTATTTTGCAGGGAAATTGGTACCCCTTTCTCTAAATTTGTCTCAATGATATGTGTATTACAGAGCTGACAGAAAATTACTACAAAGAATTACTCTATTTTATAGGTGAAGAATTGATTGACGACACAGGTCTGCTTTCTAACAATGACGTGTCAAAAATGGACGAAACACTGGGAAAGCTTGATAAAGATGACGACACTTTTCCAGTAGGAAATAGTGTTGTGGAGTCACAAGGTATATTTGTCTAAAATTTGTTTATTTCACAATATGAAAAACAGTTTTACATTGTAGCTAATATAGTAATATATCAGTGAAACCTAAGTTTTCCTACTAACGTAAAAGTGGTCGTTAATGACAGTGTGTTATAAAGCAGGTTTGTGAATGACGGCATGAATTTGAATTTTTTAATCTCATCCACATTATATATATGATGAAATTTCAATACATTGGTACCGATAACTAATAACTTATTATTTTTTTAAGATAGAAAAATAACTTTTTATGACAGCATTTGGATTATAGTTATACATGCACGTGTGATGGTGGGGAAATTGTTACTTTGGATTAGTTTGATTTTGCGTGCTTTTTCTTTGCCTTCTCGCACTTTCAATGTTTATAAAAGTGTGGCGTCAAAAGTTTCAGGCCTCAAGCCTCAAAGTCATTCTTTTGTAAATGAAAACCAAATCTCTTGACAAATTTCTTGTCGGTTAGAACTTAGAAAGCCTTGTGTAGGTGTTTTATTCTTTTTGAACAATGCATGGAACAACAAAGCTGTGTATTGTGTGTCGTTTCTAAACACAATTGATAACTAGTGCTAACGCTAATTTGTACCATATAGGCAATGCTGAGTTCGTTAATAATGAGCCAGATGCAATTAAAGCTATTTTAAGAGATTGTGTTGAACCAACAAAAACAAATGAAATAAGGAAACTGGGGGAAAACAAAGACTTCAAAAGTGGTCAAGAGGGCATTTGTTTATAGTTAGAGGAGGAGGAATAATCGATAAATGGAGTCCTCTTTATAGGTAAGCACAGAGAATGCTTGACTAAAGCGCATCTTCAGAAAAACTTTGTATTTATTATACATTTACATAACAATTAATTTTTTTCAGATCTGAAAGCCCTTCTCAAGTGTTTTTGATAACTCTTTCTTGGCTGCGCATTATGTTAAAGGAAATCAACCCAATGAATTGGAGTTTATATAAGTGATACATTGTGATGTAGTGTGATGCATTGTGATGCATTGTGATACATTGTGATACATTGTGATGTAGTGTGATACATTGAAAATATGAAAATATGTCGAAAAGCTGAAAATATGTCGATGCGCAGACGTAACAATTGTCAATCGGTTGACGATTTGCGAAAAGATGTCAAGATGTCAAGATGTCAATTGTGATACATTGTGATACATTGTGATGTAGTGTGATGCATTGTGATGCATTGTGATGCATTGTGATGCATTGTGATACATTGTGATGCATTGTGATACATTGTGATGCATTGTGATGTAGTGTGATACATTGTGATGCATTGTGATGGATTGTGATACATTGTGATACATTGTGATACATTGTGATGTAGTGTGATACATTGAAAATATGAAAATATGTCGAAAAGCTGAAAATATGTCGATGCGCAGACGTAACAATTGTCAATCGGTTGACGATTTGCGAAAAGATGTCAAGATGTCAAGATGTCAATTGTGATACATTGTGATACATTGTGATGTAGTGTGATGCATTGTGATGCATTGTGATGCATTGTGATGCATTGTGATACATTGTGATGCATTGTGATGTAGTGTGATGGATTGTGATACATTGTGATACATTGTGATATAGTGTGATGGATTGTGATGCATTGTGATGCATTGTGATGTAGTGTGATGTAGTGTGATACATTGTGATACATTGTGATGCATTGTGATACATTTTGATGTAGTGTGATGCATTGTGATACAGTGTGATGCATTGTGATGTAGTGTGATGGATTGTGATACATTGTGATGCATTGTGATGCATTGTGATACATTGTGATACATTGTGATGGATTGTGATGGATTGTGATGTAGTGTGATGCATTGTGATACAGTGTGATGCATTGTGATCAGTGTCTGGGATTTATTAATATGTACTGTGATGCATTGTGATAACAAACGATGACGAACGCTGTAGTGTGACGTTACGTAATGCATCACAAACTTTTATACTGTTTAGCCAAAAAATATATCGTGCATGGTATAATACTCTTTGACTGTGAAGACATACTCTGCGGCTGGGAAACTTAGTAGAAAAAATATTTCTCTCTCTCCTAATGTTGTTGTTCCATTTCGTACGATCGATACATTTGAAGGCTTTCAAGAAAACCTTAACGAAGGTACAAATAATTTACGTAGAACTGGATCTCGATATGAAAGGAGGAGAGTGAATGAAAGCGAATCCTGGAAGTGTTTGCAAGATAATTTAGTAAAGTCGTACATCGAAAATTGTGCCATGTTACCAGGACAATGCTTTTGTGTAAAATGCGTAGAAGATGGGATACCAGCAAAAAGTGCGTAGAAGATGGGATACCAGCAAAAAAAGCAGAAATTAGATGTCGCGATTGTGGTCACGGACAGTTCTACTGTTTTGAGTGTGCGGAATCCCTTCATCGAACGAGGAATGTTTTCCATTTGGTTGAAGTATGGAAGGTAAGCTTAATTCTTTCTGGCGGCATAGATGAATCCCTATAAAATTTGTCTGCCAGCAAAACATAAACAAGTTAAGTCGTCTATTGGAAGGCAATTCTAGGTGATTATTTCCAAAAGTCAATTCTTCAGATGAAATATTTTTGCTCTTTACATTTGGAATTTGGCTTGTTAAGCTCTAGTATTCATCAAATGCTGGCAATTTCTTACGACCATGTCTTAACTCTGAAGTAACTTAATCTGTAGTATTTTGTTAAAACTATCAATCATTTTCAAGAACGATATGCTGCTATATGCTGTGCATGGTGTCTTATGTAATGTATACATGTTTTGATGCTTAAATAACTACTCTTTAGACTGATTGTGAAATGTTTGTTCCATTACTTTTTGGTGGTATATTACGTGACAGTCAGCATGCTAACTGCTCTTCAACAGAATCACATACTATAATATGTGTGGATGGAAAAGGTACAGTATGGCAGCAATGACAGTATTTTGACATTGACTACATGTAAATGTGTATATGTTGGTCATACTGTTAAGTATTAGCTTCATTTAGGCCAATAATTTCTATGTTAATTATTTGCATATCAAATAATCCAATTTTTAATCTCATACAAAATTTGGGTCGGCAGCATTTAAAAATTGTTGAATTCTGTCAGTGTATTAAGGATGCTGAAAAACTAATTAAACTCCAGATGTGGCCAGGCTCATCTTCTAAACCCAAAATTGCATTTCACTTTGACTTTATGGATTTTGCTGAAAAATTCTTGCTCGAGAGCCATGTATCCTTGCACAAATTTTGCAGCACTGTTGAAGTTGAATATCCTGAAATGCTACCTAGACTGGTATGTATTTCTTATAAACCTGAATTGTGTACCCATGTGATAGTCTACCCATCAAATAGTGGAAATAGATGGGAAGTAGTTTTATTGAATCACTGTTATTTACAAACAACATAAATAATGCGTATTTGCCTTAAATAAGATAAGAGCACATTCAAATTGTTCATGAAGTTTCCTTTGCTGTTATGACTTTGTGTATTCAACCTTATTTTATTTTTGAAACAAATGCACAAGTTTACTAGGTGTTCATTTTATTCATGTTAAGGTGAAAAACATATATAACATGTTAAACAATTGATCATTCGATGAATACAGGTATGTTATGTGTTATAAAACATAAGTCTATTTACAGTTATTGTAGACCTAATAGTTAGATTATATGTGTAGAGCAGTACAGTCTAACCTGTTTTAAGTACACACCATTGGACAACAGACTAGTGTCAGCTTAATGAAAGTGTCAGCTTGATTGAGGTTTCATCATTATACTTTCATCATTATTATCTATATGAGATTAAGTTTTGGATTTTACACAGTATCTGCTTAGTACAGGGTCATTTGATACAAGAGGTTTGACTGTATATATTATATCATTTAAGAATTTGATTTTTTTGTCAGATCTTTCAAACACCAAGTCAGATCATTAAAGTTCATACAGAAAGACCTGATTGATTATAGAAATTGCCCTCTTTGCCCACAAGTCAGTATTTGATTTCTTTTTTTCTACTATTTGCTTTGTGAACTATTTTAAAGTATATGTTTTTTTGTCACATATATTATCAGAACATTTAAAGTTGTTGTGAAATATGAAGTGTTACATGTTTACCATAAAATTTACATGTTTACCATAAAATTGTTTACATGTTTACCATAAAATTGGGCTGGCTTCGCCCCTGAGAAAAGTGGGTCTATGCTTCATGCAGGTCCATTGGCCCTGATACATACGTAAGTAGCTACGTGGATTTAAAATCAAAATTACAAACAGCCAATTTTTTTTCATTTCCTCTAATTTATTATGTTTATGTATGGTCTATGACTTGATTGTGTAAACTGTCATGTTTATTTTTACAGTAATAAAACAATTGTTATATATGCGCTAATCTATAATGTGCTCCAACTTCTTTTAGAGTTGTCAGATATTTAAAGCAAAAGAAGTTACAGAAGCACTTCACTCCAAAGGAAAAAGTCAACTTTTTGATGAAAAAGGAGTGTTTGGTAGTTGTTGTAGTCAGCATTCACACCCTGGACGACTTTTCAGCACTAAATATGGGGAAAGGTTAGTGTCTTAGCCTTGGTTTGCACGTAATTGCCAATATTCTTGATCTTTGATGAGGTAGTAAGGAGAACAAAACGTCGGGTTATAATTTCTTTTCCTTTGTCAATTTTGAAATAAAGGGACAAAGGACAAAACGATTCTGTGCTAACGAGATCTATTATTACCCTTTAATAATATTTAGTGTCTTATTATTAATATTCAGAATTTCGTATTCGCTGTTCCTATTCCAAAGCATTTTAAAAGATGCTGACCAAAGTCCTAGTGTTGATTTTAAAATAATGTATGATATTGGATGTGTATTATCATCACATTTAAAGGTATTTTAATGTTGGCATGTATGATGTGGGACAAGTTCATTCACCAACTAAACTTTGAATAAATTGGTACCGTTCTAGGCAAACAAGAGGCATGACATTTTTTCAAAAGTGTCCTTTTCGGTGCCGATATTTCATTGTTATGGACACAAGGCTTCATGCGAGGTAATGAATAAAGCTTTGTACCTGGTAATGACAGGGATGGATTAAGAGGCGGGATAGTGGAGGAATGTGCTCTCCTCCAACCTTGATTAATGGAGATGGATGAGGAGTGGCAGTTTCCCTAAGAAATTTATGTATACCAAACCATCAAGCGATCGTAATTGGGGTTTATGGAGCACAATTTCAAAAATCTCCAATCATTGTATATAAGTAACAAAATTTAACGAAAAATGTCTTGCATGTTACGGCAACAAGCAGCCACTAGAATCTTATCCAAACTAGAGCACCCCCTCCCTCCAGAAAAATACATCCCTGGGTAATGATGTAGCGATTGAAGAAAGACAATCTTTTCTGCTCTGGTTTCTTCCTTGATAAAAAGCCGCCGTATGTAAAATATTATTTTTTAATGTCTTCAAAAAAACAGGACAAATTCTGTCCTAGAAGGCTCGATGGTTTTGGTCATACAGATGGTGAGGCTATTAAAAAGGCTCTGGGCTTACCTTCGTGGGTTCTCAGCAATTACTAAGGAGATGTCTGCCAGTAGAAGAGTAATCTTTTGACAGACGCGCTTTTTCACTTATCTCGAAGAAATTTTAGCAATGCAGGTGCTTGAATATTGTCATTGCTTTATGTGAAACTATGCGTTGACACAATGAAAATGTTTTTATTTGTTTGTTGCGCCTTAATTATTTTTATTTTCTGTATACGATTTGTTAAAATATACAAAATATATAAAATCGTTAACGTCGAAGCTTAAAAAGGTCTACAACTTATCATTAAAACGCAACAAGAAATGAAAGATTTATTTAGATAACTAACTGGGAAGTAGTTCTGGTAGGTTAGAAATTTCTTATGTTTTCTGTGGCCGAAAAGTATTTAAGATTTGTTTTTGCCTAACCAAACTCTCAATTCAATTTGCATCTAAGGAAAATATGTCGTAATTTAATAAAGGCTTCTTCATCGAATTTAAAAGATAAAGATTTATTACTATTGATTGTACTTCAAAATAGCATACTCGTTTTTACGAAATACCCTACTAAAAAACGAGATTTTTTATAGTACGGGAAAATACAAAACCAGTAGCATATATAGTTACATACATATTTATTTTGTTTGTTAGTGACGTACGATCCTGAAATTGTTTGTCAGTGGGAGGCCAGAGAGAAGGAAATTATGTCAAGAGTCAACCCAGGTATATAATGTTATTCATGGGAAATAGTTTCATTCTTAACAATTAAGTCTGGAGGATTTAAAGACATACTTTTTAAATACAAAACATAAAGATACCACGGAGAACTGGAAAGTGACGTACGTTCAAAAGCTACTGCATTTTAACAACTTAGGTAGGTTTTAATGTACTAAACTGGCTGTTTCTCTATAATACATGCCTATAGACGTTTTAATATTTCTTTTGAGCCTAATTGGTGAATTATTTAAATTCTTAGTGCTACATCATTCGGATGTTTTGAAGAAAACCAGGAGATAACAAGAAGATTACTCAATTCATCAGATGTCGAAAAAACTATACCAGTATGTATAAATGTGTCAAAGAAATATTCGAAAGATTTTAACAGATATTGAACGAAAGCATTCTGTAAAAGAAAGATGGAAACCTTGTCATCCTAATTTTGACGTCGTTGCATTGCTAGTCATACAAAGAAAACGAAAAGATACTATCGGAGCTTTACATGGACTTTCCTTAGAAAGGGATTTCTTAATAACATTGAGAAAGAAGTATGCAGGTACTGTAATGCACAGTAAATTTCCCATACCTGTAACCTAAGCTATGTTACCATATCTGTCTTTCGTTGTTCTTGTAAATGTTAATTTTGTATTCCTTTTACTCGTTTAGATGGTCAGAAAATTGCCACTCGCTTGTCAAGGCAAATCACCAAGGTCACGAACAAGATGAAATTAACAATTAAGAAACACAATGCTGTCATTGATTCTCTTCGTGATTTTATAAACAGTTTACATGATCGTCTGACATTTGACAAAACGAAAGATCCTACATCAGACCTTATATGAGGGATTTGAGTCTGGTGAGGATGACATTCTAGGGGAAGCCTCGGTCCCAGTATACACAAAGAAGAAGGCTATTGAAATGTACTTAATTCTAAAACGATGTGACGAGAAAGAGAAACTTTTAAACTTGGAAAGAAAAAGGCTTCTATTGTATTACACCAATCTTAGGTCAAAAATTGATAAAGCACTTGCTGATCTTGGTGATTTGAGCAGCGATGAATTCATGCTTGGTTAAAACCATTAACTGATGGGATTTAAAACCAAATTACGGAAGGAGTTGTTCAGCTTGAAGAAAAGTTTTGAACTTCCTCTTGGAGAATTTTTTCTTCTCCATGCTGAGATTGTCAACTTAACCAATAATGTCAACATTCCCAACGAATCTGAAAACTCAACGTACGAGGAATCCGATACTGAAGATGAAAACATCGAAGAGTACAGAAGTGGACATTGACATTGAATAGACGACATAGCTATTATTCGTAAACTAATAGCTACTTTTTATGTACTTATTATGTAATTTAGTTGTTCACGTATTTAGTATAATAACTGATATCACGCAAACATTTGGTTTTGTGACGTCATGTTATTGCACAGTCGTTTTCTCTTCTTCTGTACAACACCGGAAGTTTTGACCCGTAGTTGAATTGTGAGAGAACTATGTTCTTTATCATTTATCAATGTCTTACAAATAAGAGTTTATATGCGACATATATCCCAACCAATTAGCTCTGTCTGCCCAACCCAATTCATTTTAAATTGTGAGCATTCATATCATCTATAAAATAGACGACACGTATCCAAAGCTCGGTCAGTTGATCAACGGGGTCTGGGGCGAGTTTTTGAAAACACCGAATCTCATGATTTGTCCGTCTAAATCATCCAATTTGTTTTTTATCGTTATAAGCCTTCCCATGTTTCATATTCTGCTCGAGATTAACTCCAAACAGATGACTAACTTTACCGATGTTCAAGCTAACGAAACGATGCTGACGAGAGAGTGCTGTCTGGTTCGGCACCCTTGATGGCACTGCCGCTTTAAGAGGTGAATGAGAAATGAAACCGAATACGTGTTTGGATTGAAATACTATTAAACTCAAAATTATTAATGCCCATATATCATCTGAGAAATACAATTTGGCTTATGCAAACCAATGAGACCTTTGGAAAAACTAAAGAGCATATCAGTACAAGCAGGTGACCGAAGGTCTTGGGTTGCACGATTGATCTGCTCGAGTTCCCACAAACGGTTCAAGGTTTGCATAAGCCAGTGCAATGGTGCAAACACGAAAAACAGTTTTACCTCTTGTATACAATGATACGAAACAATAATTCAAAACAGACAAATTTAAATCGATATGCAAATTCTTTTTGGTTAATAGATTGAATTGATTGGTTGAGTTGAAATCGGTTTGCACAGGTCAATGCACACACGGCTATAGACCAATCACCCAGCGGGTACTATTGTTTTTATTTTATAAATGAACAATGGACATTACATATGTTGCATACTCTTATGTACTGTACTGCCCGTCCATATTACAGCCCATTTGTGTCATTTGATTTGAAGCAATGCCGAAAAAAGATGCATCAAGAAGAAAACATAAACCGTCTGACTTTCGAGAAGCTCGTGCAAATTGGTGAGAATGTCTCCACTTGTGGTGTTTTTTGTCAACCGGTAATCCGTGAACGCAGTCGCTTGTGTCCTTAATCGTTATATATGACTTTATTATAGGTTATGAACTCTGTTTCATCAAGATTCCTTATGTCGCGTAAAATGCTCTAAAAGTGTTGAGAAATAAATATAAGAGTATATCTGTTCGAGAATGTGGGTTCATTGTACGAAAGTGTTTTCCTATGGTGAACGGAAACCGTTTGGTTGCGACAGTTGGAACAACATTTCAAGAGTGCCCTGTAGATCGTCAAGATCGTTATTACATTTACAAACTGTTTGCGTCTTATTCATGTTTCTACATTTTCCCAATAATCTTCATGATTGTGACTTACTCCATAATCGCTCGAGCATTGATTAAACAAAGAAAAGCACTACGAACACTCTCCAATCCGACACATTCTCATATACAATCTTCCACCAGCTCAAGTCTTCAAAGATATTTTTTCAAAGTTTGAAAACATTTTTTGTTTGTGCTTTAACGGTTGTTTGATTTTCAGTTAGTAATATTTATTTTATGACAGCTTTGTTGCAGAAGTACTATAATCCAGAAACTAACATGACACATGTATTTGTTGGTGTTTGTCTTAAAATGCTGGGGTCGCACGCTGTTAATCCATTAATCTATGGAATATTTGACAAACAAGTGCTGTACTTTTGGAAGTGTTGTACAAGAAGATTTTAGCAAATGCAGATAGCAAAACATTTTTAATCACTTGCATATTTCCTGTTCTAATCTAGTAGTGGAGATGTTTAAAAATTTAATGTGTTGAAACGAGAATTAAGCCTTTTACAAATTTAATAATAGAGTTAAGAAGAAGGAAGACCTCTGATTCGTACTTTAAAAATTTAATTGCTTTCCATAACACAACACGGAAACTAGCCAAAATAACTCAAAGTTATCTGCAAAATATCTTAAGCAATATATACGTGCACACTAGAACCTAAATAAGTAATGAAACTCGTCGTCATTTTTCTAGTAAATAATAAACGTTTTCTTCATTATGATGCTATTTTTCAATCTTTTCTTCTATGGAATGTTGGAAAAGTGTTGGTGCATGTTCTTTTAAAGATTCGAGAGAGAAATGTAAAGATAGAAAGATATAGGTAAGTTATTAATAAATAGAACCTAAAATGGCTTCGCATTCAGAAAAAAGCAAATTAAAATAAATTTGTGTCCTTTTCCACTTTTGGAAACAATGCTTGTCTCCCATAAAATGACCACTGTTTGAAATATCTTGTATAAAATATAAAAGAAGTTAACAATAATGTCGCAAAAAAGATAAGCATAAAGGTTGACGTAAAGGTAGAAAAAAGGTAGATATGAGTGTGATAGAGACAGGTTAGAATACTTATAACTAGAAAATGGTGTTAAAATGTTTAATTTGTTTGTTAAGATCGGTTTTTTTGGCGGATGTGTAAGGCTTCATTAAGTTTTCGAGAAAATTGAGCGTTGGCGGTGCCTAGGATAGTGAAACATGAGCGAGTGTATTTGGAGTGTTTAAAACAATAAGTTAGAATAAATGAGAAAGAGCAGATGCGTAAACTTCTATTGCTATAATTTAAAACACTTTACTTGAACAACTTAAAAATCTAATGAACCGTTTTTCATAGCATTTGGAAAGTGAAATATAGAAAAAATGAAAAAGCTAGAAATTCTCGTAAAAACGTCATTTTTCGTTTCCGTCAGTTTATGCTTGTTTCCATGATCTTAAATATTGACAAGCATTTGATCATTGAGGTTATTGATATTTTATAGAATTTAATCTAATGATTTTGCCTAAAATAGTCAAAATTTACTGTTCAATATGGCTTTTCGTCGAAGAAAATATGGTAAATTTGGATATTATTAAATGCGCTTTGTCTTAGGGAACGTGCCTATTCACATTTGCAGCTGTGATGAGACGTTACGTGGGTTTACTTTTATTTAACTGTAATAATATTTTAAAATTAAATATTATAAAAAGCATTACGAAAAATTTAGTCTATTATAGTTAGTCTAAGAGACCAAATTATAATTTCACAAACAACAAAACAACGCAAACTTGATTAGTTTTGGATTCGTATCGTTTTAAGAACGTGCCCTCATTAAACACAGCTGTGCATGATGCGATGCGGTGTTGAATATTTACTCAAAAACTGATACTTTCACCTCATAAGAAAATATGAATATTCAGATGCTCTATAGACTGCTGGGAAAAACATTTTTTTACCTCTTCGGACTTCGGTAGCCCTCTTCACTTCTATGGGATATAAATTTTGCAGTTCACTTACTTGACGCACATTTTGGTCATTTATTCGTGACTTTATATCAGTATTCTAGCAAATTTTGGCTGTTTTTATGTTAGAGACAACCTTCCGCTGTAATGACATTTTTTTATTCTCTTGTAAAGAGAGAAAAGACGACATTAAGGCATCTGAAAGATTGGCTTATTGGAAAAATTTGCAGAAAAAATTCACTTTTTCATTGGTAGAAAGCGAAGTTGTTGGTCTGTAGAAGATGTCTTGTTGGTAATTATCAAACTTCAATAAACATAACGTGAACAATTGGCGTTTTTTGATGACTTCGATTTTCATGAACTCTTTTATGATTGATTGTTACGCGAAACAAGAAAATTTAATATCTAAGCTGTCAAACACAATAGCGAAACGTAAATTTTATCTAAACAATAAGTGTGTGTCCGGTGTCCCCAAATACTACCCTACCCACCCCCTTCATTAACAAAGGAGATGCTTAGTCATATCTTAATTCACTGACATTTAGTTTAGACATTAAAACAAAATTTTCATCAATATAGTGAAATCTCAGGAGCAGCTTTTTTTCGTCAAGCCTATTTGGATTAACTATAAAACACAAATTTGTCATAATATTGTCATCTTAAATGCTACAGTTCTTCAATTTTCATTACTATAACTGCCAATTTGTTGTAAGGAAAAGACCAGCAGCTGTATTTCATACCGACAACATATAATTGATGCTAATTTGAAGTATCACAATATGTAAAATAAGCATCATTCTTTAAGTATATTTTCTTAAGGCATATGCAAAATGAAATAAAGGAAGAGAAGGCACTCAGTACGTCAGACATATCAGTAATATCCTGATGGAGCCTGATATAATTTCATGAATTCTAATTGGTCAGTATAGCCATTAAAGAAGGCAGAACAAATAATATAACAAATTTGTTGAGAATTTCACTTACTGAGCAACAAAAAACCAAATTCTTTTTGGTATTTGCAAAGTGAAATACAGAAGTATACAGACCATTCCAAAACGTATAGTAAGTCAGTCATATCCATCATATATTGTTATGGCAATTTTCTTTGTGTTGAGAATTGCAATATGCATATTTGGTATTGTTGGAAATACTCTTGTGATCGTTACAATATTAAAACAAAAGATTCTGTTAAAAAAGAATTACTACTTTCTTGTTTTGCATCTCGCGATATGTGACGCATTTTTATTGATAAACTATATTTTTTTTGGTATCTTTACTATCAAATCAAAAATTATCTCATTTCGGTCGGCTTGGTCAATAGACGGCATAGAGGCTTTTTTTAAAATAAGTGGAGTATCTATGATGTTGATTATTTCAGTTCTACGTTATCGTGCCATAGTTCATCCATTGAAACTTTCCTTCAGTCGACGAAAGATAAAAATCGTTTGTGGCTTAGTGTACATCATTAGTTTGGTTGCGGCAGTTGGAAGAATAATTCTCAGGTGCTTTGTGGATCCTGAACGTCGTTATTACATTTACGAATGGTTTGCGTCTGTTTCATGTCTCTACATTTTCCCAATGATCTTCATGATTTTGACTTACTACATAATCGCTCGAGCATTGATGAAACAAAGAAAAGCACTACGAACACTCTCCAATCCTTCACATTCTCAAGTACAATCCTCCAGCAGCTCAAGTCTTAGAAGATATATTCGAAGTTTGAAAACATTTATTGTTTGTGCACTAACGGTTCTTTGTTTTTCAGTTGGTAATATTTATCATATGACAGCTTGGTTTCAGAAGTACTATAATGCAGAAGCTAACATGATACATGTATTTGTTGGTTTTCGTCTTAGTATTCTGGGGTCACACGCTGCCAATCCATTAATCTATGGAATATTTGACAGACAAGTGCTGTACTTTTGGAAGTCTTGTACAAGAAGATTTAAGCAAGTGCAGATAACAAAACCTTTTTAATTACTTGCATATTTCCTGTTCTAATATAGTAGTGGAGATGTTTAAAAATTTAATGTCTTGAAACAAGAATTAAGGCTTTTACAAATTTAATAATAGAGTTAAGAAGAAGGAAGACCTCTAAAACGTTCTTTAAAAATTTAATTGCTTTGAATAACACAAAACGGAAACTAACCAAAATTACTCAAAGTTAGCTGCAAAATAACTTAAGCAATATATACGTGCACACTAGAACTCAAATAAGTAATGACACTCGTCATTATTTTTCTAGTAAATAATAAAACTTTTCTTCATTATAATTTTTTTTTTCAACTTTGCTTCCGTGGAATGTTGGAAAAGTGTTGGTGCATGTTCTTTTAAAAATTCAAGAGAGAAATATATAAATAGAAAGATATAAGTAAATTATTCACCCGTTTCGCTCGTTCTAAATGGGTATTACTCAGATTTCTAAACTTTAGAATGCGGAAGATAGCCAATTTAGATTGCTTTCTGTGCTATCTAAAGGCTATGTTTGTCTCTCCTGACCTCAATATCTCCGGACACTGTTAGTGTGAGACAGAAAGAAAAGATGGCGCTTAGTAGGAGCGTGGTATGTTTCGCTGCCGTAAAATGGCATATACAACCACAAATACAACCATCCGACTGGTGCAGCTTAAGAAAGAAATTTTAGGGCTTCCATTTACTACATTTTTCATAGTTGATGTATGAGAACAATATTTCTTTGTGTATTCATATTTTTTAAGAGTTTGCAACATCAAAAGTTCGAAGCAAGGCAATCGATCAACAGGGCTCAGTTACTCAGTACAAAGCTTAGTACTTTTGTAAATATCTATCGGAGAAGTCAGGCTGGGAGAATGGTACTTAGTCTAATTCTAGGCTAACTTTGTGAATCCAAGAACACGTGCAGTACTGGTTTTTATAAATCGGGGTATTATTTTTTGGGTACACTTGCAAAATGTATCAATTCAGGAAGAAATAAGTTCTTTTACAATAACGTGGAGAGGAAAGGAAACAAACAAAAAGATGATGAAGTAGGAATTTTTAAAGTGTTCTTTTTATTGTTTCTTGTTGCACAATTTCATATTAATTTATATTTATTACCACAGTTATATTAACAAAAGTATGTGTACAAATTTATTTATGCCCACAATGTTGTGTAAGGAAAAACAATTATTCTGAGCACATTTTCCAATTTCAAGTCTGGATTCTCTATATCCTTTAATCACAATGTCATATATGTTAATAGAATAGCAGTGTGTCATATGAATCTCAATTTTTTGAGCAAGAAAATGAATTTAGGGATTTGGTAAGTTTACATATATTGTAAAACTATGTAGATATAAAAATACGCTATGTTTATGGTTTTTTTTTCATTTATATGTAGAATGAACAAGTGAAGATATTGCTGACAATTATGACAAGCACCAAGACTTAACCACCCAAACACAGGTTTGTAATGTACATATTGATATTGTTTCTCATGAAAAGTCAATGGAAATGGTTATATGTAGGACTGCTTTCACAAGAAAAAATGAAAAATTTTGAAGTAATTTAAAGAAGGCATGCATTATTTCAACACTTATTAAAAGTCTGTACACATTTTAAATTAAATAATGGTCTTTATTTGTAGGATTCTGAAGATATTTTTACCAAGCAATCTATCTCTATTATTACAGAGGATTTTCAATATGAACATAATAGCCCAACATAAGACTTTGAAAAAAGCCATCACAATAATAAAATAAAAGGTTTTTTTATTAATAACGCTTCGTCTTTTACTTAGGACATCTTCAGATTATTTGAGATAAATTATATACACGAGGTTTTAAATACAAGCATATATTACAGGGTGTTAATTTACATGTGAGGGGAGTATGAAGTTTAGATGACGGAATTAAATGAGAATGGCGGTATATTAAAGAAGGTGAAGGGGGATTGAGTTGCCTTGGGGGTTAAGAGAGGGTTTCATGAATGATAAGGTCATAAATGTCCGAAGAGGAAGAGAGAATTGAGAAGTAGGCAGAGTGAGATGTATTTCTTACATGGGAAAGAACTGCAGATGGTGGTGGACATGAGGAAGGTTTCCCTGTTATGTATTCAAAAGTAACGCCGCCCCAGCCCGAGTTAAAATGTTGCAACTCTTCGTCATATCATTGCATTCATGTGACAACCCTTGCAAAAGCCATACAAATTGTTGAAGAGGATGAAATGGATTCTCCATTGGCCCTTTAAGTTTTCCTTTGGAATTATACCAGAGATGCGAGACTATTTTGAATTGGCTACACTTAGCAAAGAAAAGGTTTCTTGATTTGAAACAGGTATGCAAGATAATCTGCAATGGTGAACATCCTTTTAGCCTTATATATACTATTTCCTTTATCAGTATGGTATTTAGCACTTTCTAGCATTTTGTAAGTATTACAATTTTATCATTTTAGCCAATGAAAATGATGCAAGCGATTTCGCTGATCTTCCTGAAAAAGATGGTCATAAAATTTTGGCGCCATATGAAAGTGGTATTTGTTCTTGTGGTGCAGAGTAGGATAAACGTTCTATTCTAGATTAATGGTTGTACGTAGACTTGTGTTCAGTTGCGTACTTTTATTCAATCCATGACGTGAAGGGTAAGTTCTGATTTGTTATAGGTTACGCTTTACTTCATAATTATTTGACTTAAATAGATTATTTAGTGTATTGTAGACCTTGTTCCTCTTGTGCTACGAAAAAGCATTATGATGGCATTGAAAACAGGATTGTATGATTTGGATCATATTCAATATCTCATGCCGTTCTGAAAGATTACATTCGGCTTTTTATAACGTCGAGGCACTTTTTAATGAAAATGTGCCGAAGCATTAGTAGCTACGTTTGCCCTATCTCTTTTGAATGTTTTCTCTTTTTTATTCTTGTTCAGTTTACCTATGTACGAATATTATGTTGCATATGTACAAAGCAAGTGTCTTCGGGTAATTTGAATTTCCCAAAGGAAATAACTTACGCCAAGTTTCGTCTCGCTATCATTGCCATGATAAGGGTAAGCATCATTTCATTTTCAGCTGTAAAATGTGAATATTCCATTGAGATAGTGATCGCTTGTTTTATTAAGTTATTGAGTTTTCTCTTATCAAGGTTGCTTGATATTGATTTTGACAATGGTTTTTTTTTGTGAATTACGTAGAAGGATTCCCCAAAAGGTGGTGATGGATGGAGCGTCTCTTGAAATACAGAAACTTTCTTGCCAAATAATTTAAGAGAGTCTGATACTGGATTGCTAGATGGAAGATAAGTATTTTTGAAGTTTATCTGTAATATATAGTATATACAGGTCTGCTAATTAGTAAATACGAGTGTTCATCTACGTATCAGAAAGCATTTTGTGCAAGATGGTGACTTCTCTCACTTTGTTTTTGTACACAGCTTATAGTTATAAAAATAACAACCTGTTTTCTTTTGTCAAATACTAGGTTTGAAATGCGCAATTTCATCAACAGGAGAAATGTGTGAGCTTTATTGAAGAAGTACAGTGATTCGTAGCTAAGTTGGGACGAATTTCAAGAATTAAAATCTGAAGTAAGAAGAATTTATTACACGACGAGTACAGAATTTTCTATGACCACTCCAGAGTTCGTTTTATACTACAATTCCTCGTATTTATAGATATCTTCAAAGGGGCTTAGGACTCTACTTCAATGGTTAGAGACACAAGGATTTATCACGAGTTGTCCAAAGTCGTGCAGAAGGTTATTGGCAGCATTGGCTTCTGACACACCAGTATGCGCAATTGTGCCCCCCAAATTGAGTTTTTATCAGAAAGGCATGTTGTATCAAAATTAAGCTTATGATCACTTTATTCAATTTAAAACCGTAGAATTAAATGGTGTGTACGGCGATTAATTAGATTATTCGATAATATCTTCTTCCAGGAAATTCTGAATTTCAGACACAATTTTCTTGCCTGCAGTTTCCGTATTCGTTTGCCTGGTGCGCTATAATAATAATCAAATCTCAGTTCATTTGAATTATTAAGGATAAATCTATATGTGAAATAATGTATTATTGGGTAAATTTTTTAGGTAGAGCAAAAGTCACCTCTAGTGCTAAATTATGCTGATGGGAAATTCCGTACAGGAAGGCATCAAGTTTCATCCGGTCAGGATCCGTACTAAGCGCCTCAAAGATATTTCCTGGCTCACTGGCATCATAGCCTTGAGGCAAACCCATTGCTTCTATCTTACTCGATCTATAAAATAAAAACGTAATCACAAGTAAAATGTTTTAAAAATAATTAAGTATAAACTTTAAATGTGAACCTTAATGCATGAGTTACAGGTTGATGATGCTTTTTGGCGGATTGCAACAATTCTTGACAAATTTCATAATTGTTGCTCATTTTTGCCATCCTGAATCCAGAAACTATATCACCTATTTCCCCCAAAAAAGATACATATGTGCATTCGCTGGCACATTCCACTGTCGTATAAAAACACTTTGCAAAAGTCATCCTGAGAAGTAAGAATTACTATATTAATTGCGTATTGTTTATCTTGATAGATATAGATCTTAACTTTCGTCATGTGAAAACTCAAATTTACCTTTTCATACATATTTTTCATATTTAAGTCTGCTTTCGGTCTAAATTCAGAAATTGCACATAAGATTTGATGACGAAGAAAAACATATCTAAATATAAATCTCATTCCTCTTCTTGTATCATGAAATGTTTCTCTGGTTTCATTTCGTTATCTTCGTTTTCTTCTTCTTTAAGATATTTCTCTGTGTTGTGCTCGTAGTCCATATCTTTATCTTGAAATTCTTCTTCGTCGATATCTTCAAGCTTCTTTTCTTGTTTGAACTCATGTACTTTCTTCTCGTTTATTTCGTCTATTTCAGTTTCTTTTTCCATGTCCTGGTACTCTTCTTCGATGTTTTCTTCATTAAACTGTACACATCAATTTATTAATAGGATGTGTAATAATCACGTAAAGTGTGGAGAACTTATCGTAAAGATACATTTGACGAATTCTTTTTAGGACAATTTATTTTCTTTTTTTAACATTTTTTACATTTAATTATTCAAAGTATTATCTTAAGTCTGTACTGTAATTCCAATAGGAAAGGACGATTTCGGTTAGTTCTGCCTTGTTGAGAATTTTCCTGAAAATTTTCTTATCGTTGTTGCCATCTGGAAGAAATGCAATCAACTTTAAACATAGTTTAGAAAACACACAATAAAGACATAAATAAATCATTAATTAAACCTAGTGCAATCTCTTTTCTTGCTGATGGTAAACAAAACGGTATGTGTAACGGCCAAAAAATTAGCATAGCTTATATTTCTACCACATTCTTCTAAACACTTTAACACTGTTAGCATTCTCATCACTTTTTTAAACTTAAACTGACAGTGTCTCTCTAATAAAACGTTTTTACGACCATGGTTATATATGCCGAAAACTGGCATACTTTATATTTCTACCACATTCTTCTAAACACTCTGACACTTTAAGTATTCTCGTCACTCGTTTAAGCTCAAACTAACAATTTCTCTCCAATAAAACGTTTTTACGACCATGGCTATATATGCCGAAAACTGGCATACTTAATATTTCTACCACATTCTTCTAAACACTCTAACACTGTTAGCATTCTCATCACTCGTTTAAACTCAAACTAACAATGTCTCTCTAATAAAACGTTTTTATGACCATGGTTGTATATGCCGAAAACTGCATACTTTATATTTCTAGCACATTCTCCTAAACACTTTAACACTGTTAGGCTTCTCATCACTCGTTTAAACTTAAACTATTAATGTCTCTCTAATAAAACGTTTTTACGACCATGGTTATATATGCCAAAAACTGGCATACTTTATTTCTACCACATTTTTCTAAACACTTTAACACTGTTAGCCTTCTTATCACTTGTTTAAATTTAAACTATTAATGTCTCTCTAACAAAACTTTTTACGAGCATGGTTATATATTATTATAGTAAGTACACAGAACGCCACTTTTGTCATGTGTCACCAATGCGCAATATCTAGCTAGGAGTCTTTTCTACTTGATTAGTCCAGTTGTCGTTAGGTCTGAGGTAGGCACGTTTTTGGTCAGCAGATACCCTCATTTTGATGGTTGTTGTATTTGTGGTTGTATATGCCAGAAAATGGATGCGATACAAATATCTAGGAGCGGCAATCGCAGGGTAAAACCATACTCTTTGACTATGAAGACATACTCTGCCGCTGGGAAACTTAGTAGGAAAAATATTTCTCTCTCTCCTAATGTTGTTGTTCCATTTCGTGCGATCGATACATTTGAAGGCTTTCAAGAAAACCTTAACGAAGGTACAAATAATTTACGTAGAACTGGATCTCGATATGAAAGGAGGAGAGTGAATGATAGCGAATCCTGGAAGTGTTTGCAAGATAATTTAGTAAAGTCGTACATCGAAAATTGTGCCATGTTACCAGAACAACTCTGCGTAAAATGCATAGAAGATGGGATACCAGCAAAAAAAGCAGAAATTAGATGTCGTGATTGCAGTCACGGACAGTTCTACTGTTTTGAGTGTGCGGAATCCCTTCATCGAACGAGGAATGTTTTCCATTTGGTTGAAGTATGGTAGGTAATCTTAATTCTTTCTGGCGGCATAGATGAATCCCTATAAAATTTGCCTGCCAGCAAAACATAAACAAGTTAAGTCGTCTATTGGAAGGCAATTCTAGGTGATTATTTCCAAAAGTCAATTCTTCAGATGAAATATTTTTGCTCTTTACATTTGGAATTTGGCTTGTTAAGCTCTAGTATTCATCAAATGCTGGCAGTTTCTTACTACCATGTCTTAACTCTAAAGTAACTTAATCTGTAGTATTTTGTTAAAACTATCAATCATTTCCAAGAACGATATGCTGCTATATGCTGTGCATGGTGTCTTATGTAATGTATACATGTTCTGATGCTTAAATAACTACTCTTTAGACTGATTGTGAAATGTTTGTTCCATTACTTTTTGGTGGTATATTACGTGACAGTCAGCATGCTAACTGCTCTTCAACAGAATCACATACTATAATATGTGTGGATGGAAAAGTACAGTATGGCAGCATTGACAGTATTTTGACTTTGACTACATGTAAATGTGTATATGTTAGTCATACTGTTAAGTATTAGCTTCATTTAGGCCAATAATTTCTATGTTAATTATTTGTATATCAAATAATCCAATTTTTAATCTCATACAAAATTTAGGTCGGCAGCATTTAAAAATTGTTGAATTCTGTCAGTGTATTAAGGATGCTGAAAAACTAATTAAACTCCAGCTGTGGCCAGGCTCATCTTCTAAACCCAAAATTGCATTTCACTTTGACTTTATGGATTTTGCTGAAAAATTTTTGCTCAAGAGCCATGTATCCTTGCACAAATTTTTCCAGCACTGTTGAAGTTGAATATCCTGAAATGCTACCTAGACTGGTATGTATTTCTCATAAACCTGAATTGTGTACCCATGTGATAGTCTACCCATCAAATAGTGGAAATAGATGGGAAGTAGTTTTAATGAATCACTGTTATTTACAAACAACATAAATAATGCGGATTTGCCTTAAATAAGATAAGAGCACATTCAAATTGTTCATGAAGTTTCCTTTGCTGTTATGACTTTGTATTCAACCTTATTTTATTTTTGAAACAAATGAACAAGTTTACTAGGTGTTCATTTTATTCATGTTAAGGTGAAAAACATATATAACATGTTAAACAATTGATCATTCGATGAATACAGGTATGTTATGTGTTATAAAACATAAGTCTATTTACAGTTATTGTAGACCTAATAGTTAGATTATATGTGTAGAGTAGTACAGTCTAACCTGTTTTAAGTACACATCATGGGACAACAGACCAGTGTCAGCTTAATGAAAGTGTCAGCTTAATGAAAGTGTCAGCTTCATTGAGGTTACATCATTATGCATTCATCATTATTAGCTATATGAGACTAAATTTTGGATTTTACACAGTATCTGCTTAGTACAGGGTCATTTGATACAGGAGGTTTGACTGTATATATTATATCATTTAAGAATTTGATTTTTTGTCAGATATTTCAAACACCAAGTCAGATCATTAAAGTTCGTAAAGAAAGACCTGATTGATTATAGAAATTGCCCTCTTTGCCCACAAGTCAGTATTTGATTTCTTTTTTCCTACTATTTGCTTTGTGAACTATTTTAAATTATATATTTTTGTCACATATATTATCAAAACATTTAAAGTTGTTGTAAAATATGAAGTGTTACATGTTTACCATAAAATTCATTTCATTTTATTAAAGAGCTTTGTTTGCTTTAGACTGGTGAGTTAGGTGTGGCCATTCATTCCATGGATGCTCGCTTTGGTCTAACTCGTAAAAAGTTGGAAGGGAATAGTTTTGCTGTCCCAAACCATGGCTGCCTTAAGTTTGCTGATCAGGATGAAGTAGATGATTTTGTTGATCATTATAGCAAGTCTAATAACAAAGTAGGACAGGTAATTATTGCATCATGAAGGACTTTGAAGCCTATTCAAAAGTATTCTGTAAAGGGGAGGGGGGAGGGGAGTGAATAGTTTGAAAACAAACTTTATATGTAGTCCAATGAAAAGCAATGGCAAAGCCAGCACTTTTTTACTTTTACATTGCAAATATTTTTGTATTCAATCACTGGAAAAACAATGAATGGATTTGATTTTCTAAAGAAATTATTAACAATTTTGCTGACAAATTTTCATTGTAAGAGTAAAAGATTGGGCAGGCTTCGCCCCTGAGAAAAGTGGGTCTATGCTTCATACAGGTCCATGGGCCCTGATACATACGTAAGTAGCTACGTGGATTTAAAATCAAAATTACAAACAGCCAATTTTTTTCTTTTCCTCTAATTTATTATGTTTATGTATGGTCTATGACTTGATTGTGTAAACTGTCATGTTTATTTTTACAGTAATAAAACAGTTGTTATATATGCGCTAATCTATAATGTGCTCCAACTTCTTTTAGAGTTGTCAGATATTTAAAGCAGAAGAAGTTACAGAAGCACTTCACTCCAAAGGAAAAATCAACTTTTTGATGAAAAAGGAGTGTTTGGTAGTTGTTGCAGTCAGCATTCACACCCTGGACGATTTTTCAGCACTAAATATGGGGAAAGGTTAGTGTCTTAGCCTTGGTTTGCACGTAATTGCCAATATTCTTGATCTTTGATGAAGGAGTATGGAGAACAAAACGTCGGGTTATAATTTCTTTTCCTGTGTCAATTTTGAAATAAAGGGACAAAGGACAAAACGATTCTGTGCTAACAAGATCTATTATTACCCTTTAATAATATTTAGTGTCTTATTATTAATATTCAGAATTTCGTATTCGCTGTTCCTAATCCAAAGAATTTTAAAAGATGTTGACCAAAGTCCTAGTGTTGATTTTAAAATAATGTATGATATTGGATGTGTATTATCATCACATTTAAAGGTATTTTAATGTTGGCATGTATGATGTGGGACAAGTTCATTCACCAACTAAACTTTGAATAAATTGGTACCGTTCTAGGCAAACAAGAGGCATGACATTTTGTCAAAAGTGTCCTTTTCGGTGCCGATATTTCATTGTTATGGACACAAGGCTTCATGCGAGGTAATGAATAAAGCTTTGTACCTGGTAATGACAGGGATGGATTAAGAGGAGGGATAGTGGAGGAATGTGCTCTCCTCCAACCTTGATTAGTGGAGATGGATGAGGAGTGGCAGTTTCCCTAAGAAATTTATGTATACCAAACCATCAAGCGATCGTAATTGGGGTTTATGGAGCACAATTTCAAAAATCTCCAATCATTGTATATAAGTAACAAAATTTAACGAAAAATGTCTTGCATGTTACGGCAACAAGCAGCCACTAGAATCTTATCCAAACTACAGCACCCCCTCCCTCCAGAAAAATACATCCCTGGGTAATGATGTAGCAATTGAAGAAAGACAATCTTTTCTGCTCTGGTTTCTTCCTTGATAAAAAGCCCCCGTATGTAAAATATTATTTTTTAATGTCTTCAAAAAAACAGGTCAAATTCTGTCCTAGAAGGCTCGATGGTTTGGTCTTACAGATGGTGAGGCTATTGAAAGGCTCTGGTCTTACCTTCGTGGGTTCTCAGCAATTACTAAGGAGATGTCTGCCAGTAGAAGAGTAATCTTTTGACAGACTCGCTTTTTCACGTATCTCGAAGAAATTTTAGCAATGCAGGTGCTTGAATATTGTCATTGCTTTATGTGTAACTATGCGTTGACACAATGAAAATGTTTTTATTTGTTTGTTGCGCCTTAATTATTTTAATTTTCTGTATACGATTTGTTAAAATATACAAAATATATAAAATCGTTAACGTCGAAGCTTAAAAATGTCTACAACTTAAAATTAAAACGCAACAAGAAATGAAAGATTTATTTAGAGAACTACCTGGGAACTAGTTCTGGTAGGTTAGAAATTTCTTATGTTTTCTGTGGCCGAAAAGTATTTAAGATTTGTTTTTGTCTAACCAAACTCTCAATTCAATTTGCATCTAAGGAAAATATGTCGTAACTTAATAAAGGCTTCTTCATCGAATTTAAAAGATAAAGATTTATTAGTATTGATTGTACTTCAAAATAGCATACTCGTTTTTACGAAATACTCCACTAAAAAACGAGATTTTTTATAGTATGGGAAAATACAAAAGCTGTAGCATATATAGTTACATACATATTTATTTTGTTTGTTAGTGACGTACGATCCTGAAATTGTTTGTCAGTGGGAGGCCAGAGAGAAGGAAATTATGTCAAGAGTCAACCCAGGTATATAATGTTATTCATGGGAAAAAGTTTCATTCTTAACAATTCAGTCTGGAGGATTTAAAGACATACTTTTTAAATACACAACATAAAGATACCACGGAGAACTGGAAAGTGACGTACGTTCAAAAGCTACTGCATTTTAAACAACTTAGGTAGGTTTTAATGTACTAAACTGGCTGTTTCTCTATAATACATGCCTATAGACGTTTTAATATTTCTTTTGAGCCTAATTGGTGAATTATTTATATTCTTAGTGTTGCATCATTCGGATGTTTTGAAGAAAACCAGGAGATAATCCCTGAAGATTACTCAATTCATCAGATGTCGAAAAAACTATACCAGTATGTATAAATGTGTCAAAGAAATATTCGAAAGATTTTAAAAGATATTGAACGAAAGCATTCTGTAAAAGAAAGATGGAAACCTGGTCATCCTAATTTTGACGTCGTTGCATTGCTAGTCATACAAAGAAAACGAAAAGATACTATCGGAGCTTTACATGGACTTTCCATAGAAAGGCATTTCTTAATAACATTGAGAAAGAAGTATGCAGGTACTGTAATGCACTGTAAATTTCCCATACCTGTAAGCTAAGCATATCTGTCTTTCGTTGTTCTTGTAAATGTTAATTTTGTATTCTTTTTACTCGTTTAGATGGTCAGAAAATTGCCACTCGCTTGTCCAGGCAAATCACCAAGATCACGAACAAGATGCAATTAACAATTGAGAAACACAATGCTGCCATTGATTCTCTTCGTGATTTTATAATCCGTTTACCTGATCGTCTGACATTTGACAAAACGAAAGATCCTACATCAGACCTTTTATGAGGGATTTGAGTCTGGTGAGGATGACATTCTAGGGGAAGCCTCGGTCCCAGTATACACAAAGAGGAAGGCTATTGAAATGTACTTAATTCTAAACGATGTGACGAGGAAGAGAAACTTTTAAACTTGGAAAGAAAAAGGCTTCTATTGTATTACACCAATCTTAGCTCAAAAATTGATAAAGCACTTGCTGATCTTGGTGATTTGAGCAGCGATGAATTCATGCTTGGTTCAAAGCATGAACTGATGAGATTTAAAACCAAATTGCGGAAGGAGTTGTTCAGCTTGAAGAAAAGTTTTGAACTTCCTCTTGGAGAAACTTTTCTTCTCCATGCTGAGATTGTCAACTTAACCAATGATGTCAACATTCCCAATGAATCTGAAAACTCAACGTATGAGGAATCCGATACTGAAGATGAAAACATCGAAGAGCTCTCTGAAGTGAACAGTGACATTGAACAGACGACATAGCTATTATTCGTAAAGTAATAGCTACTTTTTATGTACTTATTATGTAATTTAGTTGTTCACGTATTTAGTATAATAACTGATATCACGCAAACATTTGGTTTTGTGACGTCATGTTAGTGCAGAGTCATTTTCTCTTCTTCTGTACAACACCGGAAGTTTTGACCTGTCGTTGAATTGTGAGAGAACTATGTTCTTTGTCATTTATCAATGTCTTACATGTAAGAGTTTATATTTGACATATATCCCAACCAATTAGCTCTGTCTGCCCAACCCAATTCATCTTAAATTGTGAGCATTCATATCATCTATAAAATAGACGACACGTATCCAAAGCTCGGTCAGTTGATCAACGGGGTCTGGGGCGAGTTTTTGAAAACCCCGAATTTCATGATTTGTCCGTCTAAATCATCCAATTTGTTTTTTATCGTTATAAGCCTTCCCATGTTTCATATTTTGCTCGAGATTAACTCCAAACAGATGACTAACTTTACCGATGTTCAAGCTAACGAAACGATGCTGACGAGAGAGTGCTGTCTGGTTCGGCACCCTTGATGGCACTGCCGCTGTAAGAGGTAAATGAGAAATGAAACCGAATACGTGTTTGGATTGAAATAATATAAAACTCAAAATTATTAATCTACGTTACTGAGCACTGTTGCCATTTCACAGAACACGTAAGCCATTTTACAGATCGAATACTCTTGTCATGTTGCACGCCTACCGTAATCATTGCACGTATTACGTGTCACGCATTCTTGCCGTGAGCTTCAAATATTTTCTACGCAATACCAACCCTCCCTACAATCACATTCTGAAGTAACATTCTGTTGTTAAGAAAAGAACGTGATCGGTTTTTTGGGATTTTTTTTATTATAAGATGCTACATACTCTGCTACTAATAAGGTCTATGCTACAAGGGTCCATGAACTAACTAAAAAAAATCAATATTTTATTTAAAACTTAATTTGTTAAAAAAATTTAAAGCCGCAACTGTCAATTATTTGCTGTAACAAAACTTTGCTATTGGCTACTGCATACTTCTGTGTAACAATCACATACGCTCGATGATATTGGATTATGCGGTGCTGTTTATTTCACAAAAAGCACCGTAAAGTGAAAATGTCGACGCAGCGGAATTCGAAATTTCGAAATGTTAAAAGTGGAATTCATTTATGATATGTGTTGCTTTACTTTGAGTGTTCGTTGGTACCGTAAATGAAATTATCAACGGCCAGGGCGTTTAATCAATTCTAGATGTTGTGGTGCAGCGAAATGAAAAGAGAGACGTGTATATTAGTTGTTTGTGTGAACAAATAAAACAAAACTAAGACAAACTAAACTTCTTATAAGCCAAATTGTGATCCCACTATAGTTAATATATCATAATGGTAATGTTGTTAAGGTGGTGGGTGTCTATTGAGGACGGGGCTTTATTAGTAAGTGGCGCTGAAAGGAGCAGTGGCGTGGTGGCATAGTTTTTACTGCGGTGGCCAACACAAATTTTGCGCCCCTTTCACCTTTTCTTATAGCTATTTTCAAGTATTTTAGTTATTTTTATTTTATAAAAGACATACATGAATCTTCATAAAAAGGAAAGTAACTTAAAAACCAAGTATCATCAAGCAATTATATGTCTGTTACGTTATTTGCTTTTAATAGAAAAATATATTCATATTAATGCCTTTGCAAGCGTTGGGAGGTTTTCCCAAGTAAAGTTATGATTCTATCTTTGTCGATAGAAAGGAGAGTTTCCCTTTCAACTTCCATTAAAAGCAATGATTGCAGGCGTTCCTGTACCATCGTAGATTGAATACTCGTTTTTACTCTCTTCAGCGAAGAAAAAGAACGTTCAGCAGTTGCTGAGCTAATGGGTATGGCCACTGCAATTGAATAAACTTTGCATAATGATGGATATGCGTCGACTAAATGGTACTTTGGAAAAAAAGCAGCTTCAAGGCATCTAAGAATGACGGGGTTTTAGCCTTCTCGGTAATTGACGCATTATTCGAATGCTTACTTATGTCAGTATCAGAATGATTTTCATCATCATCATCACCATCACCATCATTAATAGTTTCAAAGTTCTGCTCATTATGATCATGGTCACTTTGAGTTGTAAACTGAGAACAGTGAAATTTTTTAAATGTTTCTGCAAAGCTTAACTGTTCAGTAGCGCATCTTTGGGAATCTATCTTATACACATCACAAAAGGCTTTCACTGCAGATTGAAGATCGTGAGGTGTCTTGTACTTGCTCGAGAGCTCGTCAAATTGATTAGGTGCGAATAAAGCAAATGATTTCATTAGTGGTCGATTCTTTTCAAAACGATTCTTCATTGAAAATTGAATGAAATCTAGCATTTTATAAAATGTGTCTCGCCTCCATTGTGCTTTTGGTGAATCTGCCAAATCATCTCTGGCTTGTTCTCCGTCCATTGGTCGTCGACGACGAGGTCGTGTAGACCTCCATTCGACATCTAACGCAAAAGAACCGGACATTTCAATGATTTTTTCTGGTTTGTTACGTATGATTTGAATTTGAAATAGAAATTGAGCTATCAACCATATCCATTGCTTTCCCAAAGTCAGCATTTACGCTCAGTAGATATCGACTTAAAGGTCCAGTAATTCCAAAAATTTCTTGGAAAAGACAGGCAGTCGCAATAAATTGCTTTGTCTGAAAAGCTACTTGCAATCCATTGCTGTTGCTCGCTGACTTTCAGTGAACGATCTTTCCTCAGCCACTTTTTGGAGCACTCGCATGATGCACTCGAACCTCAAACGAAATACGTTTAGACAAAATTCTCTTGCATTCCATCGAACTGTATTAAGACGTTTAAATGGAAAAATTTTGAGGTTTTCATTCTTTTGAACCAATTGAAACAATTCGTGTACTTTACGAGAATTATTAAAGAGAACGTGCCGTTTTTCGAGAGAGTCAAAAAGAGTAATGACATCAATAGCAACACAAGCTGAATCGAACAAGACAAGATTTAGCGTATGCGCATAGCAGTGAACATAGATGATGTGGTTTCCGATTTTCTCTTACAATTGCCTGCAAACCATTATAACATCCGCTCATACTGGATGCTCCGTCATACGTTTGGGCAACAAGCTTTTCAAATGAAACTCCATGCAATCGTAATATTGTTGTAATAGCAGTGTATAGGTCATGTGCAGTTGTTCCAATTGCTTTTTGGCATGACAAAACGTGTTCAGAACACTAGCCAGTTTCATTAACAAGCCTTACGCATATACTCAATTGCTCTGTATGAGTTATATCGGGTGTTGTATCAGCAATCAATGCCCATGCTTTGCAGTTGCGTATTTTTTGTACAATTACAGAAGATATTTCCTATACCAATGATATTGATTAACTTATTTTGAATATCATTGCTCAAAAACGTTAGCCATGAGCCACGTCTTTGATTACTTTTACACAAGTTTTACCACCATCCTTTGTCTATTGCTTTACTTGGTGATCACGAACTTTCTCAAGATGCTCATTGATTGGTTGATCGTACTCTGACAATAATTTATGCGTTTCCAAAAAGTTTCCTGTATTAAGATAGAAATTTGTCAGTGATTCACAGTGACCCCTAAAGGAAAGCCCTTGTCTTCCAAGAAACATAATAACATCTATCACACGTTTCAAAACTGTTTTGTTCAAAACAACTTCCTTTTTACGTCTTTCAGACTCGATTTTCCCCTGGTGATGAAACTGATCCGATATTGAGTTTTCTTGAAGGAAAAGAGCTTTCTGCAACTTTTGCGTTTAGATGAGAATTGCATTTTTCATGCTCCAGAATTTCCTAGATTTGACCGAATATTTTCTCCCCTAGACGTTAAATCTGTAAACAGAATGCACGGTATGCAAAACGAGCTGTCTTCACTTAGAGAGTAGGAAATCCATTTTCGTCTTGTTCCATCATCATGGAAGAAAACCTGCTGGGAGCATTAGCGAGTGCGATCTCCTTGTACTATCCTTCTTTGTTTCAAAACAAACTGGGATGGTTGGCATGGATTCATTTTAAGTAAACGCCTTTTTTCGCTAATGCTAAGATTAAGACCAACAACTGTCCCAGGGTCAAACGTGTTTTCCTTCGTATCAATAGAAATATTTCGATTCAATTCGTTTTCAGCAGATTCTGAGATGCCTTCGCCTTCGTTACGTTCATTTGAAATAACAAAGCTGTCAAATTCAGGGCATTCACCAACAGAATCGTTGCTTTTGATTGATTTGAAAGTATGCTCATCTTGATCTTTTACATCTATCGACTCAGATTTTTCTTGCGCATGCACTTGTTTCAGGTCTTCACTGATGTTCGGCGTTTCCCTGAGTTTTAATTATAACTCCTCTGTTGTTTGTAACAAAATGCATGGTGGGTAATTTTGTATAGGTTTAAAGTAATCAAGCAAAACTCCCCCAAGTTTTGAAAATTCTTCTTGTCTAGCTTTCTGTAATCTTCGATACTCAGCACCCGACTTTTTTCTCTTCGTGGTGTTGAAAGAATTAGACATTGCAGTTAGTCTTTAACATTGCACCATGATCCATGATGTACATTAAAAATATTAAAATAGATTTCCCAACACAAATGGAATTATCAAATGAAATGTTTGTTTTGTGAATTAAATCTGTATTGCCAGCAATGGAAGCTCAAAATGAGAGTTTTGCCTTTGAGACATTAATTTAATTGGTCTTCAAATGTTGTTGTTTAAAAAATATCTTAATTTCAATTAAATATATGCTGTTATGCATATTCGATAACTGCGGATAAATGTATCTTGAACATTTACGAAGAAGCTTTAAGTGATTTAAAAAAGTTTTACCGTATAATAACTTGCTTTACTACTGAAAATGACAAATGTGTCGTGTAACGATGAAAATGTAAATACCAACAATGCAGTACATGCTGCGGTATCATTAAAGGCTACTTCATGTTAGACTATGCATTATGATAGCAATTTACCGATGACTGCACTACTGTCATTTTTAAAAAATATATTACTACGCTCGGATTAATAATAAGATACAATGCCAGTAACGATTACTGTCTGTGAGGGAAGCAAAAAACATTGATTAAGATAGGCA